CCCTCCTGGTGACACAGCCCCACGCAGGAAACGGGCTGAAGAGGTTTCATTGTCCCCTGGAGCGCCTRTGTCCTTAACAGCAGATATGATAAAGCCAGCCAGCTTTTTCTTCTGCTTAGCTTCTATGTCTTCTCGTTGATGAAAGTTGTGGAACTCCTCGTTAGCAGAGCAGAACGGATAAGTTGGATTAAGATCTTCTCGCCTTAAGCATCATTGCCAAAAATCATCAGCTAAACTTTGCTGAGAGACTGCTCTTATTCCAGGAGCTTTACAGGTAGGATATGGTTTGACCTCCCCTCCTTCCTAAGTTGAGCCTACAGCACCCGCGGCGAGGAGAGCCAACTTCTGGGAATAAACAGGCWTGGAGTCACCACAGAATAGCCTGGGAGACCCACAGTGTCATTTTTRCAGCTGTTCCTGAGAATTGCACCTTTATTATTCATATCAAGTGCTCTGCAGAGGTCCCTTGCAGTGAATTTGTGGATGTCAGACTTTCCTGCACAGTTCAGCTAACTCACGGGGTTTTCTTCTTTTTCCCTTTCTTTTTTTATTTGTTTGTTTAGTGGGAAGAAATTTGTGCCACGGGGTTRTTTCTATCCAAGCCCAGGCTTATGCCATAATATCTTGTTTGTGGAAGTGATGCTTAAACAACAGAAATCCCCATTACTGTTTTTCTTTGACAGGAGATTCAGAATTCATATTGTTTGTGTAACTTTGGTTGCTGTTTATTACAACGTGTAACACAAAGGTGTTGCTTGAACAGTGCTGTCCTGCAGCCAGTGATAGAGCGAGGTAGTAGGTGAGATATTTCTAGCAGATTCAAGGAAAACTCTTTTCTTAGGTGATTAAAGCAAATGTATATCCTGCTAGAGGTTGCCTTTAGGGACAGTTGTGAAGCAGATTTCCTACAGGCATGATACTCCTCTAATAAGGATCAATACTCCTCTAATAAGGACAGGCTTCTAAATTATGAATGTGAGATGGGGCATGTTTTGGAGAGAGGAAATGCAACTGATCCCCAGGTTTATCTTGCTTGAAAAGGCAGAAAATTGTATTTCTGCACTGCTCAATTAAAAGTTGGAGAGACCCCATTAAATGTGTATGGGGGAGGCAGGGAAGGGGCTGATGCTCCAACAAGCTGCTCGTGTTGGAAGTGACTTCCCAGCTGCTCTGTGCACGTGGCGCTCAGTCGTGTCGCACCCTGATCTCGAAGGCTTTGGCTCTTTGCGGAGTTTGTTTCTTCTTGCATTAAATTGCTCCGTGGAGGTGACCATGGGCTGAGGGGTCCTCGGGGTGAGGAGGCAGGAGCAGCGCCCAGTGCTGGTCTAAGCTTTGTCCTTGCTGGCTGTGATGGCTGGAGCCGCCGCTAAAGCAGCAGGAACGCTGCCCTTATCAGAAGCTCTTCCACGTGCAGGAGGCAACGGCCGCCTTATCTCGAGGCTGGCAAGGAGCACGGGGGATGAGTGACATATTTCCATTTGACTCATCTGCCATCGGAACGGTGACATCCTTGCGTCACGTTAAAAATGAGACCTTGCAGTCGAGTTGSCACGTGGGGCTGGTGCGCGCGGTGCAGGTGCTGCTGCTGCTTTTGTCCTTGCTAAGAAAATGATTATTATTGTTGTTTCCCTACCTTGAAATAGGATGAAAGTGATTAATGTTGTCCTGTATGTTCTGGGTTAAAAATAACAGGAGCGTCCGATGCAGGTGGAGTGCTGGATGTTGCTGTGAAGTTGTTCCAATAACCTGCTTTGCAACTGTGAAAAACCCTCCGAAATGGAGGAAAAAAAGTGCCCAGTAGCCAGATGGTTGGAAACGAACACCCCGCGATCAATGAGGCAATATGTAAATATTTTCAGTCATTACCAGGGTACTGCTGTGTTGACACTGAAATCCAAAGTGCTCTTCCAATGGGCTCCTCATTGATCAGCAGATGAGCCCTGATAAAGCGGGGGATAAAAGCGTGGTGCTGAGCGCCGGGGTGGATGGTGCTGCTTGTTGGCAAGGCTGGGCTTCCATCGAGGTCTAGAAATGGTCTTTGAGCCCTGTTTAAGCTTGTAGCTGAGCCACAAACAGTATTTCTTCCCCAGCTGTCAAATACAGATGAAATGGCGTATTGCTTTTTTTTTCTTTTTTTTTTTTCTTTTTTTTAAGCTGTTTTATTTAAGGTGAAATACAGCCCAGTTGACTGATTTTTTCATTTTAATTGCCACGTCTATATTGGAAGGCAGGTGGAAGCTAATGTAGTGTTATCTGCTTGAAATGCACCTCGCCGGAAACGRCGGGGAAGTGATACCAATCACGTGGCGGCTCTGCAATAGATTGTATTTATTTATKTACTATTCTCCTAAAAGCAGGCTGCAGAGATCCTCTGATTCTCTCCGAAGTCCTCRCAGGAAGCTGTTCTCCTGCATAAAATAAGAAGTTCCTTGAGCAAGCAGAGCCCATAGAGAGGCATCTCCCACCCGTGGCCTCCCCGTTGCGTCCTCCCGCTTGGAGCTTTCCCTCCTGAGCTGCCTCCTGGCTTCCACCTGGTGCAGAAGGAACCTTGGAAGCTGGCTRTGAATAGGGGCTTGTGGAAGCTCCTTTGTACCGTGTGAATCCACATTGTCCACAGATKTCCATGGATACCCACCATGAGCGGGTGCCCTTGTCCACCCCACATGGTGACTGTGAACAGATCTCACCTTATTGAGAGCCACGTGGGKCTCTTATCTCCTGGGGGCTTGGGATTTATCTTTCTGGTTCTCTTGCTGCCTCATTGGAGCAGCCGCTTGCAGGGCTTCAAACCCTGCTCCCTGTTCCACAAGGAAATGGCTCCTCAGGAAGMAGAGGGCTGGTTTTGCCAATGAAGAGCTCTTGTCGGGTGCAGCCAAGGCCAGGAGTGGTCCTGGAAGGTCCATTCTGCAAGTGGAAGGTGGAAGAGCAGCTGCTTTGCTTGAGTAAGGTGACAGGTTTGTGTAAGGTGATGTCCTCCTGTTCATGCCTGTCACTTCGTGGGGGGAGACCAGGTGGCCGGGGCCCTGTTCTTATTCCCAGTTATGCAAAATGGATAAAATAGGCAGTTTCCTCCAAGTTCCCTCTAAAGCTGAGGTTTATTTCAGCAGGCTGAGAAAAGGGCCCAGCCCTGAGGCCAAGTCCCTTCCCCTCCTTGGCTTGCTGTCTAYCTCGCTGGCACTCGCCTGGCAGCTTCTCTTTTCCTCCAAATTTTGTGTAGGTTTTGCATCCTTTTCCCTGCAAAGCTGCCAGCAACCCAGGCTTCTGGAAGCCTTTTGTTTGCTTTCTCCCCCGTCCCTTTGAATCAGGCTGTTGTGGTGAGGCCCTGTGCTCCCTAAGGAATAAAGCCACGGAGGGTCCAAACGCTGCAAACATCGGATGGGAAGGATCTGCCGAGGAGCCCTTCAGCRCTGCTTGTATTTCCGAGTTAACTGGTGCATTTATCTTGCTTGCTGATTAATTCCCTCTGCTTCCTGGCACATACTGGTGCCTGTTTTTCTGATTACTGAGTTCTTTGGGATTTTGGATTTATTTTCCTTTCCTGCTTTGTTTTTAGGGTGCTCGCTTATCTCCTCGTTGCTTTAGGGTAACTGTTTAGGGAATGGAAACTACCGTCGCTTCAGGACTCGTGTGAGTATCCGTGGTCTGACGCCGGTGCTCGCAGACCATGGGCATGCGGTGTCCTACCACGGCTGATGTTTGGTAGGGCTCAGTATTCATCGATGCAGATTGCACGAGATGCGTACGCGGAGCCGAAACCACTGTGGTGTTTGCAAGGAGCAATCTTGCAGCTTCATTTGTCCCTGCGAGGTTGGGCTGTCAGCGGCTGTGGCTCTGCAGAAGCGGCACGAGAACATCGTGTCCTCCTGCCTCTGCCTGGGCTTGGCGTGGGACGGGACAGACCCTGCTGTGCCCTGCCCTGGGCTGGCAGCAGGGACACGCTGCAGGTTGACATCCCTGCCAAGGGTTATAACCGTGTTGGGGACATGGAGGTCTCTGCAAGAGAGATGTTTGTGCAAGGGAGAAGGCTCAGGTTAAAGCTCAGGTTAAAGCCTCCTCGGAGGCTGGGGACTGCTGTGGGTGGGCTGGAGAGGGCCACGAGTCCTCCTCATCCTGCCTACCCTCCGTGAAGAGGCTGACCTCCCGCCTGTGCTTCCTGCTCTTCCACCCATCCTCTGCCTTGGATGTGGAGCCTGGGTATTTGCTGCGGTGGGCATTTCCTTGCATGAGCCTGTAGCATTTAGGGCTCGGATTTGAGGTGTGATGTGGTGTGTTCTGGGCTGCCGTCGTCCCCGAGCGCTGTGTGCTCCGGTGAGAGCTCTGACCGATGCAGAGCATCTCGGTGGGCACAGGGACGATGCCTCTTTGGGGAAGGACCAACAACGCAAGCGCGACGCGTCGGACGGGCAGACAGAAGCCAGCCGGCAACATCTTCCCATTAATCCGCCTCCATGGAAAGATAAATGCCAGCTCTATTAGCGCAACGTGGCGTTTTCAACAACTGGCTGAAAACGAGCCACCTGCTCGCCTGCACCTCATCCCGATTGCGGAGTGTGCTCCCGAATCCGTGTCCTCCAAGCGKCCGTCTCCGACCTCCTCCCGTGCCGTGGGGCGCCCCAGCCACGCGGGGCCTTTGGAGGCTTCCCGTCTGCAGCGCTTCCGAGCTGCCTCCGCTCCRGGGCACGGGAATCTGCCTGAGGGCCCTTGGAGGAAGGGACAAAGTTGGTCATGATGATTTTTGCCAGTGGTGCAGAGAAGAAAAATGTTCCGGAAACCTTTTGGGAGCRCTTGCATTCCTAAATTTTCTTGTTTTGTTCTTTCTTTTCTCCAGATAAAGTTTGCTTTGGACAGACGCAGCCCGTGTTTAGCAGCACTGCAGTCTCTTAGGTCGAGCAGCACAGCTCTAAGGCAGGGGTGGGTTTACCTGTCTGAGCCAGTACCACGTACCAAGGGATGCAGCTGAATTGGAGGCGACGTGAATTCCTTAGTATTCATCCAAAAGGAGTGACTGACTACTCATTTTTAGGTCTGATTATTCATTTCTAAAACTGACTATTCATTTTTAGGTCTCAGAACAGATCACAAATTCAAAACTGATTTTAGGAAAGGTATRAAATTATCCATGAGGCCTATACAAATAGCAAGGTGGGCTTTTTTATTCTATTTTATTTTTTTATTCGGTGCTATACTAAATTGGGCATAGAATCAAGGTGAATTGTGTTCGATGCACCGAGGCCTTATCGATGTTGGTGTGCCCTYGGCTACACTATTATCTTAGTTTCACTGTTTACTGTGAAGAAAAAAGCTGATGTTTAAATTTTTTCCAAAGGTCATACTTTTAGTTTCTGTTGTTCAGAAATGCTTTTGCTTTTAATCACTTTTGGTTTCAGTACGGTTAGCAAGGGTAGAGAGAACACTTGTTTTTTCTGTCTGGAATAATTGTTTCAGACTCGTTGTTGCTGAAAACAGGAAGACTCATCATCCTTTCCCAGCCTGCAAAAAAGGAAAACAAAACAAAACAGCCTTGAAACAGAAAGAACAAAGCAGGTAGGACGATGAAGTTGTTTTTGCTGAGAGKTAGGGAGGTTCTGCTAGTTTTATGTGGCTTTCTAGGGAGGCTTTCAGCATTGCCCCCATGGTGGGTCAGCTGCATGTTGGAACCTTCTCCTTAAATCTCGAGTCCCGCTTGTCCGGGTCCTGCTCATCCCAGGAGCCACGTCCCAGTTCATAGGTCACTGGGCTGACCCCCCCAGCTCTGGTTTAACTGGCTCGTCTTCAAGTGCCTGTTCTGGCTTAGGCTCCTTTTGGGAGCCTTTAGTCTCACGCATCCAGCACGTACGAGTGTTTGTCTGCCTCGTGAAAACTCATTTAGAGTGGGCGATGACAAACCTTGATGCAGCTAATAAGGAATGAATTATTGTATAACGCTAATCAGATTGAGTCTGGATGTTGTTTAGATGTATGTTGGGCTATAAAGCTACGTAGATACAATTATTACTATATTTTAAAGAATAGCCGTGTGTGTTAAAGTTATTGTTGATTTACAATTCAGTGTGCTAGAGTGGTTAAAATGACCAGTGAGACTGGACTCTGAAGCATGTAAATCAAATACAAAGCCAAGGTTAATTTATACTTAAATTCCCATCATACAGATTTCAATAGGTGAGTTAAGAGGGGAAAAAATCCTTTGTGCTTTAAATCGTAAATGCTRCTAGGGAATGAAACACTTTTTTCTTGTTCCATTTGAGACAGAATTTTTGGTGACTTCAGACCTCCCTAAGCACTTAGTGCACTGCTCTTTCCCCCCATGCACTGAGACCTGGTAAATTCTTGACATCAGTTTTGTAGCTACGAAATCCTCCCTGCTACTAAGTGTTTTGGTTTCAGGATGTAATTTGAAGAGAATTTTGCAGGGCTCTGGAGCCCAGATCTCACTGCAGATGGGCCCTGCAGCTTCTCTCCCAGGTTTATCCATCGCTTGGAGCCCAGTGGTGGGTGTTGAGGTGTYGGGATAACGTCGGTGACTCCATGGCTGGTGCTTTCAACGCTGCCACCAGGCTGGCAAGGCAGAAGGGGCATTCGGGCTACATGTGCCTGGCTCGGCTGTGAATCAGCCAGTGATCCTAATAAGCATTTGTGGGCTAAATATATTTTTTAAGCTGCCTGGCTGCTTGTTCCTGATGAGGACAAGGAGATTAACAGTCCTGAGATGCTGCTTGGGTTTCCTTCAGGGTGAATCTGACCTTCTTGGGTTCTTTGTTATTTGYGTTCTGTTTCCAGTCCACGGACTGGAGCAAGGTGGTGGCACCTGTGGTCCCTCTGGTGCCTCCTCGCTGTCCTCCCCAGCTGAGAAATCAAAAAGGCCCAAGGGGACTTGAGAGATCACTCAACACTGCCTTTAAACGGGAGATGTGGTCGGGGTGATGCTGTGCAGGGAGCACACTGAGTGGTCAGCGCGGCGCTTTATTTATTTTTATATTTTTTTCCCCTTCTAAATTTCCCTGAGTTCGAGATGGCGATGACTCACGGCTTGGAACGCGCTTCAAATCCCCGAGGTGCTCGCTGCCGCCTACCATCACGTATTGAATTTCTGACATTCCGGAGGGATGTCTGCAGAGAAACTCTGATGTGCAATTAGCAAGCGCCGGAGCTGCATGTTGTTTGCATAGGAGCCATTAGCAGGGGGTAACGGTGGCAGGAACGCGGCGTGCGCGGGCTGCTGATCCCCCCTGGGCGCTGCAGTTAAGCAGCTCTGCTTTATCTTCCCCTAGGATGTTGACACATGTGGACCTACAGTGACATCCTCCTCCAGCAAGGCCGTCTCTTCGCTCCCTCCTGCGCTCAGAAGCCTCTGGAGGGACTTATTTTGCAGAAGGTAGGTGCTGGCAGTGCAGCTGCATGGCTGTCTGTTTATATTGCAAAAAAAAAAACCAAAAATTAAAAAATCAATTTTAAAGAAATATCAAGTGTTACTAGAGCAGCAATGAGTCTGAAGGCTGCTGGCTGGCTAGCAGTGAGAGAGGGGATTAACCTTAGCTTGGTTTCCCCTTGAGTAGATGCTCAAGGAGACTATGAAATGGAGCCAGGAGGAGCRATGCTACAGGTTGCCTGTGAGAGGGCAACCTGGCAGCTGCAGGACCTCTTGGCTTGGATATTGCGGACGTGTGTTGGGAGCAAACCTCTTTCCAAGAAAAATTCATGCATCTCGCCTTTCATTTCAGCCTAGCCAGCACCCTTGTTCAAAACGTTTTTGTGCAAATGCTTTAAAAAGGAAACTCCCATGCAAGGTGTGCGCCTGGTAGGAACTTTTTGTGTATATTTAAGTTTTGTGGGGATCTCTCTCTCACCTGAAAAAATTGTAACGATCTGAAATGCATGTAATATCTACCAAAAGAATCGGGGTGCGGCTTCTCGTACCATCATAAAAAAGGGGGATTGACATGCAGAACTCCCCCAGCAAAGGGCATAAATGGGAGTTCTTTTTTTTTCCCCAAAAAGAGAAGAGGTTAATTTTCATTCTCTTTATGAATATGTGGTTACCTGCCATTCCCTTATGCTGTAACCTCTGGAGCTTCCCTTRAAGGCTTCCTGTGAACCTTTGCATCTCTCATTAAAACTCCCTTGTTTAAGTTCTAGAAATGTGTGTCGTGGTGCTAAATCTGTCCCCAAAATTAGTGGCTGAGCAGTTTCTTTGGTAGATGGGTCCTCAGCCTTTAGATCATTCCTGAGCGGGTAGTTTTGACCTCAGTTGTGCGTCTTGTTTTCTTCCAGTGCATTCCTCACCACTTTTCCTTCTATCAAAAGGGTATTTCTAACCCTTAACACTACCGAGTGTTCTGCTTTACAGTGTTCCTGAGGTTTGACAGCCTTTCGTTTATACTGAAACCCCTGGTTCCTCCTTTGATTTAAGAGCAGTGAATTACTGGGAAGAGCAGAAAGAGGAGGAACATGTTGGCATCCGAGGCTCTCCACATACAAGACTAAAAGGTGCTTTGGGTTTCTCTGGGTTTATGCTTTAGAGTCATGGCAGTGACACTGAAACCGTGGCGTCACTGACACCAGCTCTGTATTCACACGCGTTGCCTTTACCAGAAACCCTTCAAAATTATGGATCATTTGAATACCTTAAATATCTCAGGGCTGTGGCTCCCAGTAAACTCATCACCATTTGCTGTGTCAGTTCCCTTCTGGAGCCGCTCTCCCCATGATCCATGAGCCCCAGGGCTCCCAGCACCGCAGCGTGTCCCAACGTGGGACACTCCGTTGCCTCCAAGAACTTCTCGCTCACCTGCTGGGGCCTAACAGAGCTGGGGACAGGTCTCCCTGGAATAACTGCTGCTGCCAGCAGCCTCAGCAGAGGAGCTAATGCTCTTGGAGGCACTAATTGCCATCTGGATTTGTGCTGAGGAAGAGCTGAGGGGTGTCCCTGTGCTCCCGCTTAGGCTGCTGTGGAGCAGGTCTCACCAGATCGGTGGTAAGAGCAGAGGAGAAATGCAGCCCTTAGCGTGTTTGGGGTTTGCTTTGCCTCGAGGCTGCTGCTCTGCTTGTTTCACTTGCCCAGGGGATTTAATACTCGGCAGGGCCGCCACTCCTTTGTGCGGGAGGTGCCTACGTGGTCATTAAGTCTGGGCAGGTCGCGAGCGGTGTCTTCCAGTGCACCCTGGGGAGCTAGATGGAGGTGATAACCCTCCAGAGAGCTGGGCTGGTGGCTGCTTTGGTGCTGGTGGCACAATTGTGGCATTGCCCAACTCCACGGCAAAGCTGGTGGCCTAGCAYTTCTTCCAGACAGAGACAGCAGCATCTAATGCAAGTTAGAACTGAACATCTGGGACCTAACTGCTTGGAAGGCAACAGGAAGATCTCCTTAAAGGATTGTCTCCTATGTGGTCTGGCGCCTTGAAACTCCTGGTGGAGATATGGGCTTTTCTTTGGTTATTTTTCTTAGTTTTACAGTAGAATACTGGGGTGTGAGGACCTATTTGGACATGTGTGTTTAACCTGGGTGGAAAGAGCTGATGTCTCTGGTGTGGTTGTAACCACAGACTAACTGACAGTTTCCTGCTGCTGGTAGCTTTCTATAGATTAAAAACCTCCTTCACTGGTGTATGTTGGTCTCTGATGTATAAACATCTGAGGAAGGTTCTGCAGTTTCTGGGGTTCTTGTTTTTGTCAAAGTCTTTGTAGCTCTCTGGGSGATGGTGGTGGAGAGATGATTACGGAAATAAGAAACATTCTGGACCAGTGAAGGGCAGAAGTCTATTTAATGGTCTTGTATAACTTAAAAACCCAAACCAACCCCATCTAATATGTGTCAGCCTGGTTGTGCAGTTAAATTTGCATGTACAAAGCTCTGGTTCTGGGGAGGTAGGTTCTAATCACATGAACCTACCTGCGTATTCAAGACCCTTTCATCTTATATCTCCATTCTTGCTTTTAGCTCACCTTCCTGTCCCTTTCCCCCTACCCTTCTTCCCTTGGATGTGTAAAATATCACGGCTGCAAAAATGAGAGTCCTTCTTTCCCCGCTGTTCCCTTTCCAGCTGGAAAACTTGGCCAGATCCTTCCCTTGCGGTTTGTGATACTGTAAATAAAGGCTTGGGAGGTCACACGCTTTCCATATCAAGTTATTTTGATTCCAGTGCTGGAATGGGGGGRAGGAGGAGGGTGGAAATTAAAAAAAGCAAAACCCCAAACTGTTCTGGTTTATTGTGGAAAAAACAACTCATTAATATGAGGGAAAACAATGGGGGAAAAAGAAAGGCCTTTACAAAGACTGTCTCTGACCTAAGCAGATACCTTGGCAAATTTTGACCCTGATTCTCCAAGTATTTTTTTCTTGAAGCTTTTAAATAACTTTTTTTTTCCCTAAAATTAATGGCTTTGAACACCTAATCTGGTGCTATTTCTGGATRTTTCTGAGTAATTTGCTGTCTATAAAAGTGTATTGACATAACTCTGTACACATATCTATGAGTAATTTTACCTGTGCTCGCAGTGAGTGGACTCTCTGTGGCTACATTTACTCGTTTGTTTAAATGCCAGTTAAGGGGACCTTTACGTATGGATTTGAGGGAATTCTGGCCCTAGGCCTTGCTGGCTGTGATGCATCTTTTGGTTCAGCCAGTCTAAGTCTCTGCTTATGGGGCAGGATGGTACCTCCTGGTCCATGGCACGATGGATGGAAAATATATGTATCCAGATAATGGGATGGTTCTGCCTTCCAAGGAAAGGACACAGAATCATGGTGTGTCCAGGGGAGTGTTAACTGTTGTTATCTGAGGCTGGCCTCCTCATCTCCTCACCTCTCTTCCTTTCCAAGGTGGTGCTCAAGGCTTTGAATATTTGCAGAGAATAAGGCTTTGGCTTAAATTGCTATTTCATGTTCTTGCTTTAATTCTGTTTTGGATTTACGAAGAAACAAGAGCTCAGAACAAGCTCCACTGGGCTTTATTACAGGCTGGTGATATGCAGAGTGTGATTAATATTGGCTTACCGTGGAGAAACTAACAGTTACCGGCAATTCTGTGTCACTTATTTTTGTTTGACTTCTGAAGAGGCCTTTTCCTGGTAAAGACTTTCTTGTTCTTTTTTATCAAAACAGGATATAAAATGTGAATATAATTTGTCACTACAGAGCTCACATTGTACCTCGCTACTGCAGAAGTATTTCTTTTTCCGTAAACCATTATACTTATAAATATACAGCAGGAGCAGAAGAGACACATTTCACCATCCAGATGTTAATCTCTGTACAGCACGGTCTTTAGATTCAATCACTTTTCCAACCTGATCTTCTGTGTTTTCCTTTTCTTAAATGGGCACATGACATATGGACATAAAAAATAATGGCCCAATTTCACCCCTGCCGTAGCTCATTGACGTCATTAAAGCTACAGCAGGGATGACTTGGCCCAGTTTCTTTAAAAATAAGACCTGTTGAACAAGCCCTCGTGGAAAAGCTCAATAGAGAAGGTTGTCCTGAGCATAGAAGCAGACACCAGGTAATTCACTGTGACATTTGATAAAATTCCCATTCCTTGCTTGGTTCTTTTGGAATAGGGGTAGGACTTTTTGAAGGGGGCAGCAAGGTAAGTGCCAGTGGGGTCACCTTTACTGTACCCTAAGAGAGCTATAGGGACAATTAATGAAGAGAGAGAAGGTCACCAAAGAGAATCAGCTCAGGCTGGGTGCCCTCGTATTGCTGACTTGCTTGGGAGTCCTCGGAGACTTGTTCCCTTCCATAGGACTGGACTTTGTGTGTTGGTCAACCGTGCTAGAAAGGGCAAGGTGAAGTTCTTGCAAACAAATATTGACTAATTTCCAGTCACTAAAATAAGTGGTACCAATTCATGAATGGCAGTTTTGAAAATCTTCAGACTAATTTACAAAGTGTTTTGCTTGAAATTATTTAGAATTGTGAGAGCAAACTCTGTTTAAAGAGCAGTCAGAGCCCCAAGGCCATATCAGTAATGGGCAGCTGCTTGATCCCTATTTGCAGTGCTGATTTATATTGCAGAGGGACCTCTGTGACTYGCCGAGCTGAGTTCTTGGCTCTTGGGTGGTGACAACTCTATGTGGCCAAGGCAGGTGCTCTCGCAGTTGGAAAAATAATTATCTGATTTCTTGCACTATTCCCTAATCTTCTGGTCTGCTGAATGTAACTGTGAGAACACGCAGTTCCCAAGAAGGAAAATGCTTGCTGTGGTTTTGGTGAGATAACTTCAGTGGGAATGTGTGACGGCTGAAGCTAACTTGGTGGAGGGAGGGAGGAGCACTCTTGTGTGCTATAAGAGCGTGTGCAGTTTGTGGGAATTTAAGTAGGAAAGTTTTTTGCAGTCTAAAGCCAGAGGAGTGTCAAAGTGACATTGACTAGTA